CTGAGTCGGGTCCAACTCGACAGCACATAACAACAACAACAACAGTTAAAATGTTAAAATGCTTAGCTGCCAATTGAGAGGTCCTTGGTTTGAACCTACCAGCCTGGAGAAAGTTGTGACAGTCTGTTTCCATAAAGATTTACAGCCTTGGAAACTCTATGGGATAGTTCTACTTTGTCCTTAAGGTTGCTGAAAAACCAAAAACCAAACTCACTGCTGTCGAGTCAGATCCAACTCATAGCAACCCCTCCTTGGGTTTCTGAGGTGGTACCTCTACGGGAGTAGATTGCCCACCCTTCCTTCCGAGGAGTGGCTGTTGAGTTTTGCTATGAGTAATTAACTCATCAGCAATGGATTTTTATATTAGTGCAAGAAAAGGCTGAAGGCCTTTCAGTGACTTAAGAGCTACACATGTAGCAAGTGAAGGTGATTATTATGAGGAATTTGTTGCAAGTAAGAGTTGTTTCAATTGAAAAAGAAAAAAAGATGGGCAAAGTAAGGGCAAATTTACATAATATTAAAGGGCAAATACCAGTTGTCCATAAGTAGAACATTGGTGACCTGGGAATTGCCTGTATATGTATATGGGAGGAATAATAAAGCAAATATTGTGAAATATTAAAAACTGATGAATCTAGATAAACATTAGTAGAGAGTTCTCTGTATTTTTCTTATAATTTTTCTGCTAGTTGAAAATTCTTTCCAAATAAAAGATTTTTTAAAAATCAAGCAAGCCAAGATATTAATGTTCTGGAAATGATTTCATTATAAGGAATGACCAAGATACAGGTGTGTCTCTTAAGACTCCTGAGTGTTTTTGTTTCTACTTAACCATGCTTTTCGGTTTTGGGTGCAGTTTCTATCTTCTGCCTCTTCCACGTCTGCTGATGCTCAGGCAGAGGCAGTGGCAGAGATGATGACCGTGGTCTCCCTTGATGTTGACTCCCAAACTGCTGTGGATCCTCTCTGCTTATCTCTGTGTATATGTGTCAGAATTTAAGGAAGACATCAACAAAACAGGGACCAAAAAAAAAAAAGTGACAGAAGACAGCATTCTAAAATTAACTCAATCCAAACCAAACTCACTGCCATGGAGCGGATTCCAACTCATAGCAACCCCCACTGGGTTTCCAAAGAGGTAAATCTTTACGTAGATAGATCGCCCCATCTTCCTTCTGCAGAGTAGCTGGTGGATGTGAACCGCCAACCTTCTGTTTAGCAGTCAAATGCCTTAGGCACTGTGCCACCAGAGCTCCTTGTATTTTAAAATACACTTGAGAAAAATTTTCTAAGAATATGAATTATGAAGTTGTGTATAGTATTAAAACACACAGTTAACTCAGTGGAGGTAAAGCTACAGAAACATTTAATCTAGTTATTTAGCATTGACCGAATTTTTAAATTATTATTCTCAGTTATATATTGTGGCATTTATAGGAACTAACCATCTACTATCACTTACTTTGTATTATAAATGTATAAATATGTTTTTATTCTGGCTAGCCTGGCTTCTTAACTGAATATGTAGCAAAATTTACATTGTAGTAGACTGAAGAGTAAATTATTTGTTTGTATAAACTCTCTAGAGATGTTTTAAATTTATTATTTTTGTATGTTAAGTAAGCTAAATTTCATTGTTTTGGATAAAGTCACCCTGAGGGGATTATATAATAAATGACACTAAACAAATCTGCTATCAACTGAATTGTTAATGGTTGTTTCCTGTCTACTTTGGGAAGCTCATGAATTTATGAAAGTCTAGAAAATAGAAATAACAATTATTCCCAATCTTTTTCCCTCACACTTTACAAAAAATTTGGGAAGAATTGAGAAACAATGGCTGTAATTTACCTTCAGCTCTTAAGTAGAAGTATCTAATCAGAACTAACAGTGTCATTTTTCTATAAGTAAGGTAGAAGGAGCTCCGCTGGTGTCGTGGATAAGGCATTTGACTGCTAACCAAAAGGTCAGGGGTTTGAACCCACCAGCTGCTGCAAGAAGAAAGATGAGGCAGTCTGCTTCCATAAAGATTTATAGTCTTGGAAACATAATGGGGATCATTATGAGTTGGAGTTGACTCAATGGCAGTGAGTTGTTGTTTTTTTTTCTCTGAAAGTCAGAAAGCTAGAATTTGGTATTCTTTGCTACAGCTATTATAAGCCCATTTCACACCTAAGAAAACTGAGTCTTAGTAAGAGTCATGTGAGCACTGTCTTGTATTTTATTAGGTAAATGCTCAGGTCCATAAGTGTGTCTTAAAATTTAGTTAGTGAGAAACTTCATATACTCATACCATAAATGGCTATTAATCTAGAGTAGCTTTGAATTAGGACATGCTAATGAATACTGTTAAACTGTGTATATTTAATAGCTATATAAACAAGCTTACATCATTACATTTCAAAATATCAGAATGTACAAAAATATAATTGAACTTAAATGGTATTAAACGTCACTCAATCCTTCTTCCATGGTTTAGAACACATTTTAGGATCCTGCAATTTTTCAGGGTTATTATTTTGAAAGGCATTCTCATAATATAGCATTCTCAGTATAGAACATAATGGAGATTGAGCTATACCTAAACTGAATTTATGACAACTCTATTACGTACCTGATATTTTTGTTTACCTATTTGGACTAAGAGAGTGCAAAAAGTAGAAAATAATTCCACTTTTTATTTCAGGACATCGAACTCTGTATGATACCAAAGAATAAAGCATCTCAGTGATCTACACATATATCCAGGAAAAAGGCATAGTAAAACTGCATTCACTTAGAATTTTTAGTAATTTACACCAAGAAGTCATCATTCTTAAGAATAAAGTTCAGAATAACCCCTCCAGTGTAAATTAGGTTTTATTTATAAATAAAGATTTACCCAATCAAAACTCAATAACTTATTCAAATAAGTAATTCAAGGAATTGTGTCTAATGTGGCTTACCATTTAAATGTATTTTAAAATCTTTAAGTCAAGTAATTAATTCTTATATTACCTGAAATGTTTTATAGATATATTATTATATAAAGTAGCCCTTTTATAAATGGTAACAGTGCCATTAACTGAGTTCATTTTACTTATTTAGTGCCTATTTGTTCTGACTTTATAGTTGTAAATTCTTTTTATAGTATGACTTGTACTTAAAAGTAATAGAACTGGATTTCTTTATAAATATTTATGGCACAGACTTTTTCCTAGATCAGTTACAGCCCTTTCTCAATTATCCCAATTAAATTTGCGTGCATCTTTTTTTTTTTTTTTTTTGGCCTGTGTAGCAGTATTTACTGCATGTTGTTGTTGTTAGTTGACATTGTGTCAATTATGACTCATGCAACCCCCTGTGTGCAGAGTAGAGCTGCTCCCTTGGTTTTCCAAGGCTGTGACCCTTCTGAAGCAGATTACCAGGCCTGTCTTCATAAATTCCTCTGGGAGGGTTCAAATTACGAATCTTTTGGCTACTAGCTGAGAGCTTTACCGTTTTCACCACTCTGGAACTCCTACGCACTGCACAATCCCCAGAAAATTTAAGTCTGGTTATTTATGCCCTAACTTGTAATTAATCAAAATCCTGTTAACTGCCATTTAGACCTAGTGTTACAAAATACGGAAAGTTACAGAAAGAGTTTAAATTGATGTTTCTGATATGGAATTTCCTTAGCATCTATAAATCCTATGGTCAAAAGGGATCTTTAAGTGAGTCCTTTTCTTGAATATCAATATTTCTGGTAGGACGATTTCTTTATTAACAAACCTGTGTCTCTTGTTGAAAATATATATTGGTAGTAGGTGGCAGAAGGCAGAAAAAATACACTTTTTAAGATTCTTAAGGTTTTTTATTAAGATATTTCTTAAGATTCTTAAGATCTTCTTTTCTTTCTTGGCCTTAGGCAAGATTGAAGTTTACAAGTCTTTGGCCATGTCTGTCTCCATAAGGGATGCAAATTTGTGATTTCAGAAGTTTCAGCCCCCAATAACAAGTACTATCCAATTGTTTGCAAATGTCCTCTGGGTCAGATTTCATCACAAATAACTCTATTCCACTGTCATGTGCCAAGTGTAAAGTACTGTATTAGGTTACTCTGTGGTCAAAACAACCAAGCCCTAGTCCAGGCTGTCCTAGGACAGATGCCCATTGCACTGTCCTTTTTGTTCTGCCAGTGCATTCAGTAGGGAGCTCTGGTAGCGTAGTGCCCAAGGCACTTGACTGCTAACCAGAAGGCTGGTGGTTCAAACCCACCAGCCATTCCTTGAAAGGAAGATTGGGCAATCTACTTCCGTAGTGATACCATCTCAGAAACCCAAGGAGGGGTCCCTATGAGTAGGGTCCAACTCGATGACACATAACAACAACAACAACATGCATTCAGTGGTAGCTTTCCTTTTTTGCTAGTTGACGGATAGTTTAAAGAAAGTAGTGACTCTGCAAAAGTAACCAGATTAGGTTATTTGTAATAAGCCAATTAAAATCAGTAATCCTTGATATTAGCATGAAGTATTATAACAGCATATTTGTTATATATTTATTGTGCTATTGTGATTTTCTGAAGGGAAAAATAGAAACTCATTATTTCTACTTTATTAATGTACTGCTCTTTAACTGTATCCAAGATTTTACTGCCAGAAACACTGCCAGGCTTGAAACTTTATTATGGACCCTTGATCTAATCCATACAAGCACTTTCTGGTCATAGTTTTTGTTCAAGCATTTATACTGTCCAAAAAGTTAGTATTGCTCCATTTAAAATCACTCCAAAAAAAGTTGAATACCTAGGAATAAGCTTAACAAAACATACAAGCTCTGTATGCTGAAAATTATGAAAAGGCATTGCATGCAGATGACTTTGCATGTTGGTACTGTGCTCGTGTGCAGGATATGAGCTCATACACTGTCACTCTCTTTGAACCATGAGTGAAGAAAAAGCTTCAGACTTAACTAGGTATTGAGCTTGTGTATGTTACAAAGGAAATCAGTTTGCCCTTCTTTGTCTTTAATTGCAGAAAGTGACATCACTTCTTTTGCTGTCTTGGTTCAAGACCAGAAAGAAATTGTTGACACCAATGGAGCTGGAGATGCATTTGTTGGAGGTACAGAATCACTTATTTATATGCTTCTTATATGCTTATTTAATCACTTACTCAATACATAAACATTTCCTTTAACCCTTGTCGCTACCACATAGCCAAGATTTATTAATAACTTTTAATTTCTTCTTTTAAATAATTAACTCCTAAAGTTCTTTCCATGTACTACTATCATTGTGAGTATTATGAGGTGATTTTACTAGAAAAAATATGTGTTTTGTCTGTAAAAATAATTTGTTCTTATGCTGTACCCCAGTCATTTTCACAAGATTAATTGTATCTGTCAGAATATTGCATAAACAAACTGCATCAAGTACAGTATATAGTATATTCATAACCCTTCAGGCTTAAATGTTAACACATTTTTATTTCTAAAAACAAGCTGTGGTGAATATTAAACAATATGCTAATAAGGGTAATGTCTTTTCGATTATATCCTTTGGTTAGAACATCTGTTTCTAACACAATAGTTGGGGGGGGTTAATTTTACTTGTAAAGGGTTAAGTTTTTGCATGGCTCAAATGTAGTAAGAACTGGCAAAATCCATAATGACTAAATTGTTTTCTGAGTGAGTATTCAAAAATAATATCTAGACAATTGGAAGATTCTTGGCTTGATAGCTAATTAGATCAACCTAAAATCTAATTTTGATGAGTCTAAATTCCTTGTAGTTAAGCTAAATTATGGTTACTAGAAAGCTTTGGATTCCTGAATGGTAACCCAGAAGGGTCACTCCTGGTCTCTGTTTCTTTTTCATAACATCAAAGAAAACAAG